CTACTGCACGCTCCAAAAACAATAACTCATTTCCAATAGCATTTTTCGGATACAACAATACATATATTTTCGTTGTCCTCTTATTACTGAGAGAAAAAACAAGAACAACATCTATTCCATACCTGAAGATGTCTGTAGGAACAGACGAAAGCTTGTAGTAAAATAAGAACTAATGCAACAGAAATTTATAGAAACAAGGATCTTTTCATTCATAACAGGTTCGGAGGTTTTTGTATATTATTTGAATTGTTTGCGACGATGGATTTCTCGCCAATTAAATCATTAACCTTTGTATTTGTTTTTGTATGAATAATTCATGAATTTGTAAATTGATTGCACGTTTATCGAAATTAAAATAACTGATCCAAGTGCGACTTTTGGATAATAAGTGCGACATTACTGCAATTATTGAACAATATAGTTCATGCCACTTTGACAGAAAATTTACCAGTAAAAATTCGCTTATCACCATATTTGTACAAGAACGCACAACTGTAAAATTTAAAATCAAACTCAGCGTTGCTACTGCACGCTCCAAAAACAATAACTCATTTCCAATAGCATTTTTCGGATACAACAATACATATATTTTCGTTGTCCTCTTATTACTGAGAGAAAAAACAAGAACAACATCTATTCCATACCTGAAGACGAAAGCTTGTAGTAAAATAAGAACTAATGCAACAGAAATTTATAGAAACAAGGATCTTTTCATTCATAACAGGTTCGAGTTTTTGTATATTATTTGAATTGTTTGCGACGATGGATTTCTCGCCAATTAAATCATTAACCTTTTGTATTTGTTTCATATATATATATATATAAAAACAAATACAAAGGTATATATATATATATATATATATATATATATATATATATATATATATATATATATATATATATATATACATATATATAAGGCTAGAATATGTAAAGCTTGGGATGACCCATGCCCTTTGTGCCTCCATGAAAATTGCACATTATTAAACTTCTAAATAATAATAATCTATTAAATAATAGACATGAGTTAACGGTTTTCTGTAGGCATCATCAGATTTTTTGGTTTAAATTATTAGATAAAAAAAAAATTTATATAACTTGTTTAACAAATAACCCAATCATCAGATTAATAGTAGGAATAATTAACTACAAACATGCATACAACATAACACCTTTCATAATCCATAGCCCAAGTTAGTAGTTTAAATACCTTACAAAAAGATAACCCTTTATGAAGTCGTCAAAAACAAACGTTACGAAAGTTTTTTTTTTTTATATGCACAATCCTTTCATAAATAAAATAAAATAAATAAATAAATATCCATAGACTAGCAAACTAAACGAAGATTAATACATCTTCCGTTTCATTTTTGACACCCCCAACTTTCCCTGACTTGACACCTTGAAAGTATCTCTATACCGCTACTTATTATTAACAACCTACATTCGCCTACCCAATTTAGACAATTCGCCCTAGCTGTTACCATGGGGATTTTGATTTCAATTTTTAAAACAAGTAAATTTCAGATATTCGTTATTCCAACAAAATTTCGCTTGAAGATGGAACGAGCCCATTTTAATTTCAACTCAATTTAATTTAAAGGATTATATTGAAGTTTTCGGCTCTTGTTTTGAAACATGAGACCTCTTATGTAGCGATTTGGAATCATATTTTAAATAATTATATATATATATATATATATATATATATATATATATATATATATATATCCAATGACAGACCCAAAGAAGGTGAGTTCAATTCTGGTTAAGGCAGTGGAGAACTTTCAGAGGAAAATTAGCAGGAGATAACTGATAACTGACATCCATCAAACGTGGAACTAGAACAGTCTACCCCAGTGATCGAAATAAAGGGTTCAGTTCCAAATTCCAACCAGCTGAAGAAGGCCGGAGCGTACAACGGCCGAAACGTTGTGACAAATATGGCGACAAAGATGAGGACAATAGTCCGACTAATGTAAATACTATATATATATATATGTTACAGGAAATACTAATAGAATAAATAAAATCGGTCATAATGTCAACACAACAACAGAGTGAGGTGAAGTAATATTTTAACCATTAAAATTATAAGTTGCGACAGTTTCAATATAAATATAGAGAATTATTATAAGTTGATAGATATTTTGAGTGTTTCAAGTTACAATCAAGCGTAAGAAGCTTACTCTTGCCCACTTTGCTCCCCATCCAAATGTTTCAAAAACAAAATTAATTTATTTTTGTTAAATATTAATCTAACGGAAATATTGTAGTTCACCTTTAAAAGAGATGTATATGAGAACTATATTTAAGCAAGGAAGGTTTCTGTAAACTAATAAAAATTACTTCAAGTAATGCTGAAGTCGAAGGCGTATTGTCTGGAGTAAATGATTTAGGCACATTGTATTAAGTGTATTAAAAATTATATCAATTAAAATTTTGATTCTAAATTCACTATTCAAAAAATATTATCGATTGATCAATACAAGAATTATTGTGAAATGCTTGATTTTAATAAACAAATCCCACATAGTGTTGTGTAAATTTGATTAAATGACATTTTTTGAAGTTCAATTAAATCAAGGAGACATTGTACACTGAAATTTCCACTCCCGTTTAAGAAAATTTGCAAATAGACTTAAAATGAATGGAAATAATTTTTCATATCACTTCAGATATAGAGTTAACTTAAAGCATATCTCTTCTAAAATTCACTTAAATCAAAGGCTCATTTTATTTTGAAAATCCCACCATTCTATGAAATGAAACAAATGCTTTCTAAAAAAATTTAAAACATAGAATTGGAAAAAATAAAAGGAAAAAATGAAAGCTACTGAAAGTTTGATAGGAGAATAACTCATTTTATCAGTTCGAAAGAATCCATATTTATTCTACTGAAATGAATACGAAACAAAATTGCTTTAATGCGGTTTTTTTTATCGTTAAAGTAGGCTAAATTTGTTCTTTTTTAAGTTATTTTGGTGGATTATTTAAAGCCGAAACATATTTTGAATTGTAAGAATAATTTTCTCTTTTTTCGCTATTGCATTAACAATTTGTTAAGAATAAAAATTACTTTCCCAGATATAATTCCTACTACCTAAACCACAGCTGGTGGAGAGGATGGTTTCATAGATTTCCCAAGAGTATTTTCGTGTAAGTGAATGCAACGAACCAGACTAGAATTCGAACTAGGCTCTGATTTCTCTTTCTGAACCGCTGTCCATTACACCACCCGCACATGCAACTAATCTAGGAGCAAATAGTAAAAGAAGTGAATTATTTTTCTTTAAGGTAGGGGTTCATAATTCATTAAAGTTCGTGAAAATATTGTAATTTTTTTTCTAAGTTTACAATATTCTTTTAGTTTTTCCTTTCTTTTCTACTATGATGGATATATTTCAGATTTTGCCGGTATATTAAAGGTAACAACACACAGACACCTCCATCTATATATATATATATATATATATATATATATATATATATATATATATATATATATATATATATATATATATATATATAGTATTAGTAGTAGTAGTAAAAAAGGAAGGAGATGTGATGAAGAAGAAGAAGTGGAGAAAAAGAAGAAAAAATTAAGCAAGCAAGAGGCGAAAATGATAAATTTAAGAAAATGACGCATTTTTCTTAATGATAAGAAAAAGACACAAGACAACATAATAATTTTGCCCTTAAGTTGTAAATACTACTAAGTAGGCTTAAGTAGAGAGTTAGGTGAGTGGAAGGGTGATCACGGGTAGTTCGCTGGGTGCATTGTCTTTAGTAAACGTGAGTATACATTTATGTATAGAATAGATCAGCAGTGGGGAATAAACAGCGAAGATGTGTATCTTCGTTGATTTCACCACGATCGTGTAATTTAAAGAATCATTTTATCCCGAGCAAGGTAACAAAGTCTCTGAGGCGCAAGAGATTAATGAGTGAGAGAGAATATAAGAAGAAAAAAAAAACACTATTAAGGAGAGAGAACAATAAAAGAACAGGAATTCAAAGTGACAGAAGATAACAATTAACATTGCATTTAAACTTTTGAAGCAAAAAAAACGGAAGAGGGTTTCACAAGCAAGAAGTGCGAGAGAAGAAACTGTTAAAGGAAAGTTCATCAGAACAATTACCATGAAAGTATTTACAGAAAAAAACACACAGAAACCAGGTTACGATGGTGGGAAATGACTGTAGCCGATATGTCAGGTCAGATCAGTAACATTGCAGATACTTCTTAATATTTTATTAAAATTCTCAAATATATAGCAGAAGCACCAAACCAGATGTAACAGCAATATTAAATGTATTCACGAATGGTAGATTTATAAATGTGTAAGATTTGTGTACATTCTGTCGAGAATTTTGTCTAGTACGACACAGTGAACCAATTTTCCTAGAAGCAAACCTAGTAATTGATTCATATGACTTCCACTTCATGTCAGCTTTGATATGATATATATTTGATATCAAATATGAACTTTGCTGAGAATAACAATAATGATCTCTATCTAATATATAATCTATGTTGTATATATTGAAAAGGATGTTTAAGTAGTGTAGATATTGTCTTAAAGAGTGATGGCGATGCGTATAAATGAGTGGTTGATTATAATGTTGGTGTTGGTATTTTGTTATTAAATATAATTATATATTCGGTCAAAACTGGCTCACGGCTGCATCATTTGTAAAGCCATGACAAAATTCTAGCTCATCTTGAATGGGATTCAAGATCAACAACCTTGTTAATAAATAATAGTAAATAAAATCGAGAATATAGCATGAACTGATGACTGGCTTTCAAACAGCAATTGCTGGAATATGCAGCATATAACAAGATCATTCATTGATACTTGAACTTGCTCTTAATAGTTTATGAGTTACGTTTCTGCCAAGTCTGACTTTTGGTTTTCAAGAATACTTTGGCATCTTCAACAACACCATTTTATAAATCCTTGGGAAAATATAGATCTATGTGCTTAGAAATTGAGATGTTTCTTCGTATTTATGCATTAATATATTAGCATAATTCTGCTTACAGGTTTATGTGCTGCTTTCGGATCAACAGATATAAATAAAATTGAATGTTTTTTCGGTAAGGAATTAATTCAAAGGGTATTTGTGAAATCTTCATCGACGTCTACCATTTTGTAGATACACATACGCACCAACATTTTCAATTTAACATTTTCTCTGCATTTTAGTTTTCATTGCTATTGAATCTATCTATCTATCTATCTATCTATCTATCTATCTATGTTCGATGTCTAATCTGAATATCTTATTCTCTTTTAGAAACAACTTTTCAAAAATATTAACCACCTGGGACTGAATCAAACACACACACAAACACGCACACACTTTACCATGTCTAGGGGAGGGCAAAAAAACATCTTCCTAGTTAGGCATTGAATTAACGACTGGCTCCCCGAATAAGGCCAATTTATGCTTTAACTCTCTCTGCTAAGGAAGTTGTATATTAATAATAATAATCGACTCCAAGATGTCTAAGAGAAGTTTGGTCTGTGCCCTGTGCAAGACAGAGAAAAACTCCGGAGAATAGTCCGTCCTACAAGCAACAGAATTCAATAAATGCTCGCCGATAGCGGAGTCATGAGCCTGTGAACACCCGGATGTTACAGGCTCATATCTACGTACCTGGCCCGAAACATGCTAACCTCCAACCACTGGATAGTCTTGCCCACATAATCGATCACACATCGACATTTATACTGATATACAACTAAACTTTGTTGATGGACAGGCAAGACATCCTTACGGTACGAGCGGAAAGCCTTTCTAGTTGAGAAAATGCTCCGGACCATTACGGCATTAAAACACCGTTTGATGGAAGCGGTTATTTTATCGGCTTATGTTTGACTCAAGGGATCAATCCACAGTAGTCTCAAATATACAGGAAATTTAGGGGATCATATATCTTAACTCCATTGAACTTAACAATTTTACGTTCAATGGTAGCTGTGATAACACATTCGTTTAATTTTCCTTAACTCGGCATCAAGCCTGCACTCACTACACAACATCAAAGCACGATGAGTAAGTGATAAGATTAATTTTCCTGGTTTTGGGAGCAAATGAGTCCCAAGTAAGGTAAAGCCCAGAAAAAGTGTGTTTACGATAAACACTGGTGAGAAAGCCCGAAAGTGTTCTTTCTACCATCACACGCAGGAAAGGTAACTGATTATTCTCTTCTACCTCCATAGTATATGTCAAAGAATGATGGAGATTATTAAGATATAAAAAGAACTTCCGCTTTAACACGGGAAGAAAACATCAACATAGCGGAAGTAACGGTAAGGCTTAGCTATTCTATCAAAAAGTTGTTTCTCATGAAAGCCAACAAAAATGTTGGCCATCAGAGGTCCCAATGGACTACCCATTGTCACTCCATCTATCTGTTGATACAATTGTCGAAGCTGAAGGAGACAAATTTAGTAGTCATCTCCATCAACTCAACAAAGACAGTCTCAAGAGAAGGCGGAGGCTTTGCGGGGCCACGATACAAGAAGTCATCACAAATATCGATTGTTTCATTAATCGGAACATTTGTGAACAAACTTGATATATCAAACGACACAAAATATTCAGTGCCAAGATCAGGCTGCAATTTATGCATATAGGCAGCAAATTGAAACGAGTCAGGCACATCATACTCCGAATAGAATACTAAAACCGGATCAAGAACCTCAATAAGCTACTTAGCCAAACTATGCTGGGCAGATCCCACTATAGACAAAATAGGCCTAAGTGGAACGCCCTCTTTATATATATATATATATATATATATATATATATAAGGTGCGATGGTTAAATTGTCGTGTAAATCACACAAACATGAAAATAAAATAAAATCGTCATTGGCTTCAACAACGCCACTGGGCGACTTCGGAATTTCTTGTAACTCTTCTGGGCGGTTTCCTTGTTTAAGTTGGTGAATTCTGCTATAATCCTTGCCTTCAGTTCATCTTTGGTGTTATAAGGAGTTTTGTTGGTCTCTCGCTCAACTGCGCCCCACACGTAATAATTAAGGGGGTTGCAGTCTGGGGCATTAGGCGGCCAGATTTAAGGTGTAATGTGGTCTTAGAAATTGTCTGACTGGATTCTACAGCTTGTGTGGCATGATGCAGAGTCCTGTTGCCAGACGTAGGATCTTTAGGCAGCCACCCTCTTAACCCAGGCCAGCACTACCTCCTCAAGGCACTTGATGTAGGCCTCCGTTCTGAGTCTGAGAGCATAGTGCCCTTTTTCTCAGAGACGTTGCCCAATTGACCCTACTGTACTGTGTAGTCGCCAAAATCAAAAACTACGTATGCTCGAAATTAAAAATATAAAATGGCGATAATTTACTCATCACACGCTATATATATATATATATATATATCTATATATATATACTCAATAAATAATTCCATTAGAATTAACTAGCCAAACCACCCAACTGCGAGTGCATTTCGCGATATTTAGCGATTGTTGCCAGTTAAGCCGGTTACGGTTAGCTGGTCTGTGAGTTTGAATCGTTTTAATTTTAGGAGAGAATGTAATCCAATGAATCCTAAAGCACGAAACACATCACACGAAAAAACTTTTCCCGCTTTTATACTACTTTCCCTTATATATATATATATATATATATATATATATATATATATATATATATATATCGGATTACTTTCTCCTAAAATTAAAAAAATTATATATATACATATAGCGAAAGTTCTAGCCACTCGGCCCATATATATATATATATATATATATATATATATATATATATATATATATATATATCCCTCAGCGCTAACACGACTTTGAATTTCATGCACAACACAATCTTCAGGTGCTGAGTATGAACTGACTGTTACATAATTTTGTATTATAATATATATGGTTATCACAGTGTTGGTGTAGTTATATATTATGCTGGGATTACAGTTTATTTTATTTTTTAAATTTATTTGGCAACTCAAATAAGCGGCATTTATTTATGTATGCGAAGAAAGAAAACTAAAATTAATTAAGAATCCCTATATTTGCAGGAGTTATAGATAGAGGGCGTTTATAGTTATAATCAGTATGGACATATATCAACATTCCATGGTTTGGTGATCGCTTAAGGCGTGAAACTCACAACAGTACTGATTTCTATGTCTGCACACACACACACACACACACACATATATATATATATATATATATATATATATATATATATATATATATATATATATATATATATATATATATATATATATATATATATATATATATATATATATATATGTGGTGAGAACGTTCACTTTCTGAACATGAGACCCGGGTTCGAATCTCACCATTGTCAATTTGTTATCGGTCTGAAGCGTGCGACACCTTTGGAAAGTGCCTGAAGCCATACCACGGGTTGACTCAAGTGAGTGAAATTAGAAATTGGTTAGACGGAACACGTCGATAGCTGTACTAGCACGAAGTCACAAGTCATCGTTAACGAAGTTTTGAGGGTGTTGTTCAGATTGTTGATCATTACAGGCAACACGCTCTTTCCCAGGTCTGCTTTTATAAACCCCAGGTTGGCTCTGTGGGTGTCTGAGCGAGAGTCTGCAATAGTATTATATTATCTATCTATATATCCGGAACAAGTTTACAGATAGGCATTGTATCCAATGTATTCCCCATTATTGTCATCGTCTCTGCTTCAATTCAAGTCTATATAAGTCAGGAATAAAAAAAAAGCAAAAATAATAAAAACAAAATGAAAAATAAAGTTATAGATAAAAAAAAATAAAAACAAAATATCAACTACATGAATAAACCACAGGTTGGCTCTGTGGGTGTCTGAGCGAGAGTCTCCAATAGTAGACGGGTATCTTCGAATACGAGTGGCCAGCTATTATATTATCTATCTATATAACAGGAACAAGTTTACAGATAGGCATTGTATCCAATGTATTCCCCATTATTGTCATCGTCGCTGCTTCAATTCAAGTCTATATAAGTCAGGAATAAAAAAAAAGCAAAAATAATAAAAACAAAATGAAAAATAAAGTTATAGATAAAAAAAAAATAAAAACAAAATATCAACTACATGAATAAACCACAGGTTGGCTCTGTGGGTGTCTGAGCGAGAGTCTCCAATAGTAGACGGGTATCTTCGAATACGAGTGGCCAGCTATTATATTATCTATCTATATAACAGGAACAAGTTTACAGATAGGCATTGTATCCAATGTATTCCCCATTATTGTCATCGTCGCTGCTTCAATTCAAGTCTATATAAGTCAGGAATAAAAAAAAGCAAAAATAATAAAAACAAAATGAAAAATAAAGTTATAGATAAAAAAAAATGAAAACAAAATATCAACTACATGAAAAGTAACAAAATATTCCATATGTCTCGGAAAGCAAACTAGTGACTTTTCATCATCACTGGGCAGACCCTGAATTTTTGCCTATCGCGATGAACAGATGTTCTCTCGGGGAAGCCCCGTGCTTTGAGTGTTGAACTCGTACATACGATGCATCACCAAGGATACTGTTTAAATGGTCGGTTCCCTGTACCATTCTATGGCAGAGGAAGTATGTACCTGACTCTCCCTGCTATCATCTACCTTTTCAAGAGCCAGGCCAAGCTGAACATTGAGTACTGCTACTATATATGGACTGGAGCTGCCCATTCTGCACTTTCAAATCTTAAGTCCAAAAGTGTCTACGTGGCCTTCTGGGAGATGAATAATTTTCCACCTTATAACCCCTTTCCCACAGACGAAACTTCGCAAGTCTCTCCCTATACTATCGCTATCTGTATGGAAAGTGTTCAGGCGAATTAATATTCCTTAGTTCCCTCAGTTCTAACCTCCACGGCTAAGACCCGCCAAGCCACACCCATTGAAGCGAACCACAATCATTCCCTTTGTATTCCATTGGTGAGAGGTAAATTCCACTCAAACCACTTCTTCCCACGAACTGCTACTTTGTGGAACCGACTCCCAAAAGGATGATTCCTCGATCGCTACAATCTTAACCTGTTCGAGACTAAGGTTAACCGTTATCTTCCCCTCATAAAATGTACCTCTTCCCTCTTAATTTGTAAATCTCTACTTCGAGTGGCTCTTGGGGTTTGTACAGAGTGAACATTATTGCAAAAAAAAATATTGGAAGCCTGTGCTAACTTTAGTTTAGACTGGCACCTATTAATGTCTTCATTCAGGAAAGGACCGTAAGCTTTCTTTTAAAATCACTGAAAACT